TTGCTTGTTTTGGAGCCATGTAATAAAACGACACTTACAACTCTCAACTGACCGTAAAGTCTAGATACTGGCGTCATAAAACTTTACCTCCTCTTGTCAACTCGTATAAGAAACTGCAAAATTTGGCTTTTCCGATTTCTCAAAATACCCACTCTTTCTTTTCTCTTTTGACAATCATGTATTTCTTCCCACTACCTTTTTGAATATTGGGATCCATAAAGACTCCCAGGGGCAAATTTACAATTTCAAAATATAGTCCAACTACAATGGCCTAATCATTATCCTCTATTCACTGATCTAAATTATCCCAAAACGGTCCTGTAGGTGCTGCGGTATGGATCCCTAAGCTTAAAATCTCCTTAAAATACAAACTCCCTCAGGCCTCCCCGGTGTACTCTAATGAAACTGTTGCTCTTTTAAAAGCAGCTCTTTTTATTAAAACCCGTGGTCTAAATCTTCTATCTTCTATAAATCTATATATATAAAAATGAATTGCTGTTCGTTTGTCTCGCTAAAACTCGAGAACGGCTGGACCGATTTGGCTAATTTTGGTCTTGAATTAATTGTGGAAGTCCAGAGAAGGTTTAAAAGAGAAGGTTTAAAAGAAAAGGTTTTAATGAAATAAAAATAACAATTTTGTTTTTCCCTTAATGTGTCCCCCAAAAGTTTAGGTCTTTTATTTATTAATTGAGGCACTATGAAGTCTGCCAGGTCAGCTAGTAACTTAATAATTTTTCGGACTCCTTAAGCTGTCTTAAAGACATAATTAAATTTCCATCGCATTCAAAAGTCAATTATGAAATTTTATTAAAAATTAAAGAAACTGTTTCAATGTCACTGCTCCGGAAGTGATGTCACTCTCGTCTGGATCCCGAGTCATAACGGAATTAATGTAAAATAATTTGCTGACTCCTGTGCCAAGGAGGCTGTTGTCATGGGCTGTAACAAGTATAACAAAATTTTTCCTCGAGATTTACATTCCCTCGCAAAACCTGATATGCTTCAATCTTGGAATGAAAATTGGCAGATTTCTCGTCAGTCAGTAGGTAAGCACTATCGTAACTTGCAACTGAGCCTTACCTCTAAGCCTTGGTATTCCCTCACCGCCATCTCTCTAAAGAATTGTCTCAGCAGCCTTTTTTTCTTGCCCAAATTAGAGTCCGAGACCATTCTCTTTGTGAGTGTGGATTAGATGAGAGTACCCTATCGCACATTTTCTTCGACGCCCCAATATCGTGTCTCCTATTTATGATATCCTTCCAAAAGACATCCCTCGGCCTAGTAATATTAATTCTCTAATAACTTTAGTTTAATCTAAAGATTTAAACATTCTATGTAAATTTTTGTCTACTAATAATATTTAAAATTTAAAATTTATTTTATTTTATTTTATATTTTAAATTATTTTTATTTTTCCATTTAAAATATTTAAATGGAAAAATTTGATTCGAGCCCTACACCCCAGCAGAGGGTAATAGGAAAGAATGATGATGATGAATAATATTTATCTTTAAAGTAGTTAGTCTTACATACATATTTGTTTGTATTGTTCTTAAAATAATAGATTCGCGTATGGAAAAAACTGATCAAATTTATTTGTATTTAGATAAAAAAAACAAGCACCTGTCATATTTGTGCATACTGTGATAATAGCAAAATCAATGCTTAATAAGTAGGAACCAAATGTTTGTATAAAAAAATATAAAATTTTCTACACTGTCACTATAATCATTACAGATTGCTTTACAAGAAGTATTTCGTGAGATTATTAGATAAAAACGACCTCATAATATATGTGTTTGCGTAATTCATTAAAAATAAAAGACCGAAATCAGATATAATAATAAAAATTGTCATCCAATACATATTATTTTGATTACAAGATTAAATTTTCTACACTGTCACAATAATCATTACAGATTGCTTTACAATGAGTATTTCGTGAGATTATTAGATTAAAACGGCCTCATAATATATGCATTTGCGTAAGTCATTAAAAAATAAAATCCAGAGTAGTAAAATCACCCCATGATAATCCCGATTAATAATTAGTTAATAACGTTGAATTATTATGAAATTGCATTAAGTTTATCTCTAAACGAACTATAGACAGCAAATTCATATACATAATATAAATCTTACGAAAAACTCATGTGTCCATAACTTTACGTAGTATTTCTGAAAATTCCAAGGTTTAACTTTATGATTTAAAACTATTCGTAAATTTTGGCTATCATTTTTTTGTTGTTAAAAATCATTTACATATTCGCGTTTCTTCCTCTTAAACTTTCTAAGAGCATGGCTTATTGGGTCCTAATTAACAATTGTTTAATTTAAAAAAAAAATTAAAAGCATTCTTCATTTCTAAAAAAAATTACAGGAGTCAGAAGTTAGCCATCGAGACAATTCAATTTTTTTTCCCCTACCCATGCTTATAGCCTTAAGAGGCTATTTCAGCTTCACCCTAACGTGCAGGTGAGCTCATGCTGCTCAAACCGGAAGTGTTGCTAACACTGTCCCTAGTAAGGGTAGTGTTTCGCAGTATCTATCTACCACCGGATCAGAAACTCAGTGGGCTGTCTATGGGTTAATTTACTCGTCGAACCTTCGTCGCAAGCGATGGGTTCGGCGAGGACGGTGACCGGCACTTGAGGTACCTAAAAGCACCGTTAATGGATCGGGAGAATCCGTAATTACGCGTTTATTCACCAAAACAAAATTATGCGTGCACACACTGAGATTTTCATAGCGATTCATAGTGAACATAGACGTATTTAGCAATTAATCATTATAACTTATGTTTTTTTTTATTACAGTCCATTATCTCATTAAACAACCTCTTAACCATGTTAGTTGCATTGCCGTTGTCAGAAAGACCGCCTATCCGGCGATCATGATAAAGAAACTGCAGAATACACGTAGACTAAAAAGTACTTGTTTGATTGATTGTAAAGTACCTTCTACTGCATTCGTATTCTATTGTTTCTCTAAATATTTTTTTTATTCCCTACGTTGATGACCCGGTTGAGTTATTTATCTGTAGAGTCTCATGGAAAGCTTCTTGTAGTTTGTGGGTTTTTTGGAAGCAGAGACGCTTGTCTCCGTCTGCCAGTAATATATTCTTAAGAAAGATGTCCTATGGCGCTGCTGTAATGTAAGCTTTCTTTATTTTTCTTGGCGAAGATGTGTTAATACGTAATTCCGTGATTTTCTTAGTCTTAAGCATTGATTGGCTTCACGATTACAAACTTTTCATATGATATTACATTAACTACTCTACATACATTTTTTTATTGACAAATTGAACTTAACAAAGCAGCATACCATTTGAAATTAGTTCAACACTTTTATGTTCCGTTACACAAGAATCTCAAGGTTAGTAATGTACATCATTAGGTATACCTGACCTGTCCTAATCCAATTAAAGTATATGCCATTTTGATACTCTTCCCTACTGGTGTTCGATCGTTTTAAATACAACATTATTTTTATGATATCATACCACAGCCACCACGGCACGTCCGACGTCCGTCAGAGAAACTCGTGCAATAAAATTATTTCGACGAATTTCTCTGGTTTTTTAAAGTATTGTAGCGAAAAATCGCCATAATTCTATGAAGGACGTTTGCAGAAAAACATGGAAATTTGCTAAATACAATTTTGTTTTTGGAAATAGCAGATCAATCACATTCAAATTGGGACTAAGTCCTGCATGTATACTTCACAATTAACGAATCTATACTTTTCTCAAATTTCCAACCGCCAAAACTTTGAGGTTTGTTCATTAACATTAGAACCGATTTATATTATTTTTATTTACGATAATTTAATTATTTAATTAATAATTAAGATAAATAATCTTTATTAACAAAACCTACTGAGGTTGTTTAATCTTAAAAATGGTCAAATTTGTCGAGCCGATCTCAACTCTTGTATTTACATCAAATTTAATTCTTACTAATTAGAAAAGTTAATAGATCTGCTATAGGTAAAGATGATTGTAATAACATTTATCATACGTCACAGTAACTACTGTATTATTTATTCATTACTTAAGCTCTATAAGCGGGTCATTTCATAAGCTTGTGCAACAAAAAGAGCATAGCTATAGTTAATCAATGGACTGCAACCAAATATCAATTACCAATTAAGCATTCGCCAAAATCACAGGTACCCGGTGCACATAAGCAATCTTCGATATGAAAATAAATATATTCAAAGTAATGAAGTAGTACCTACTCTGCAAAAATATTTTTTTACTTTGAATACGTACTAATTTATTAAATTAATAATTTTTCTCTACGGAAGGATAACCGTGATCGAATGAATAGCCCTGCATGAAGCAGCAATTTTCGCTGATCTAAATTATTTCTAAGCAAATCAAACTAGTCACGTAAAACACAGTTCAAACGATTGTCAGAATTATTTTTGTCGTCGTATATCTATAAATAAATGGTCTGTAGAAATATTCGGGAGAGCAAGTCGCGAAGCGAGTGGCTAGTTGTCGACCGGTAGCGTGGCAGCGGATGGAGCGCATGCGCTCCACCCTCGTGTCTCAATCCTGTTATCGAACTTCTCCTTATCTCAACAAGAGCTGGCCGGCCGTCCGATAAACAACAAGCAAAAGCGTGCGCCCGCGCCGTTTTGCCTCATTCGTTCCTCTTGGTCCTTTGCGATCACAGATAATTTGCGATTAATTCGTTTCATTCGAATCGTTCGCCGCTCCCTTTCGTTCGACAGACGACTAAAACATCGTTCAGTTGCTCACTCGTTGCCGTCGCGATACCACGACATTGCGCGCGTTCTTCTCGCATCATGAACCAGCAAGCCAACAACACATAAACCTTTCAAAATGAAGCCTCATCGGTTATAACGTTTCGTTTATAAACCTATATTTAATTTAAGATCGAATACATTATTTTGTGATATTTAGTTAATTCTCCTATATTGTTATAATTTATAACTATTACGATGATTTCAAATTTTATTGTATAGAATATAACATCATTATAAAAAATTCAGTGCTCAAATTAATTTCATTCCAAATCGCGCAATAATAAATATAAAGTAACGTAAATATATATAAATACAACAAAATGGCAGTAAAAACTCGTTCACATTGGAAGGAATATGGAACAGCATTATGTGGTGAGTAACTTCCTAACCTATAGTTGTGGGTATGGACCGGCCATGTGTCGCCAACCGCTAAAACGCACATACATCATTCAGACGTTAATTACTTGTTTTTAATTAATGTTGTTTACGCTTCGTATTGTCGTGTATTAATCGCTCGAGAGTTCAGAAAGTAACTGCTTATTCGTTACGAGTATGTGTAACTATGTAGGTATAGCTTATGTGTGTTGTCCACGTCGCACATTCATGAATTCACTAGTGTGCTATACAATGATTTTATGTATTTGGCCTCGACATGATATTTCTACAATTAACCTCGATTCACAATCAGAAAATTTGGTATTTAAGGGAAACCTATGCCGTGAAAATTCAGATCAGTTTTAATAATTTTTTATAATAATAATAATAATGGTATGATAGTTGAGTAGAAGATGTAGAGTAAGAAATAAGTGAAACTCTACAAAAATGCAAATTCTCTATGCTGTTCTTCGTATGTCCTTGCACCTTTCTTATTCTAAAATTAATGGCACCCTTCAATAATTATTGAACAAATATTGTTGTGAGGTCTTTAAATGTAGGCAATCATAATAATTAATCATTTTAATACGCATAGACTCTACGAGGTACAAAGTAGAATCATATCTTGGAAAACATAAAATTGACTACAGAGCTAACTACAGACTAGAGTAACAATCCTTCTCTGTAACGTATAACGTTCATTTTTGTGATTTTAAATACAAAGTACTACTGTATAAATTAGTTATTTTGTGAATTCGTTTCAGACATTATACAGGGTCACGCAGGCTATCACTATTTTTTTATTACTTTATCTCTGTTAAGCTGCTCGGATTCAATAACATTTCCTAACGTACAGAAAATGAGGAACATTGATGCCATATTAAAAAAAGAACGTATTGAAATTAGTAAATAACGCGAGAAAATAATATTGCTGGCAACAAAATTAATATAAATGTCTTGTAAAAAATAAATGAAACTAATTTAAATAAATAAAACTGATTAATTTGACACTTTAATCAGTTAAGATGAAAATAAATGAAACTAGATGATATAGAATGAAATATAGTCTCAGTAAAATGGTGGTTATTATCTGAGTCTTTTTCAGTGTACCAATAATAAACAGTAAATAATCCATCGGTAAATTATACATTTAAATCCTGATGAAACACTAAACTGAAAAAAACAATTCACACAACTGCGCTCCTCGTATTCCCGCCAAAAGGACAATAACAACAATGTCGGGAGCATAGTCAAGCCCTTGTCTATTGCCAGAGTCCTTTCGAACTTGGTAAAGAAGTACAGATCGAAATGCCTAGTAGCACCTTGAAATAGTTCCAATAATCTCTGGAAACACTTCATCGTAGTTAGATAAAAAATCATCAAAAACATCAGAAGTTAATTTGCATGCGAATTGTGTTTTTTAATTGTCAGCCTATTTAAAAATAACACGCTCTCAGTGCATAGACATGTTCTATTTTGTATACAAAATATATTGATTGATATTTTTTTCGATAATTAACATAATAAGGTCACTTTAAGTGGTTTATGTATTTTAATATATCGAATCAATAGAGAAGCTGACGCGGTCTTAATTAATTTCTTTTCCCAAAATCCATAATAGAAGATATATTATGAACTAATTTAGAAAACATGGTCGGTCTTTCTCTAATTTAGAAAATATCTTTATATTTCACGTTCACGAGAACGTATAATTACTCTTAGAAGCACATGTGACCTATTGAATATGACGCCCAATTTATTCATATGCAATATTGCTACTGTGTTTTGGATTAAAAATATACAATAAATTTAAAATTTTAAGTACTTAAAACATGTCCACGAACAACGTATGCGATGGAAGAACAATATCGTAAAATAAAAAAAACTAAAACTAACTAAACTAGCAAAATTCCTAAATTTACTAACAACGATCGGCCCGTCGACACACCTAATGTAACAAAATCTATGAAATAGAAAAAATAAAAATGATTTTATGCTAAGCGATCCCATGCACTTTAAACTTCGCAAACACATAATAATTTTCTTACTAATAAAACTATAGAAATGAAATACGTTTTATGTTCATAAAATTCAATGAAAACGATTCAATGGAAAACGTTTGAAGCAATTAAATCGTTCGAGTGGATTTCTGAGAACTCTTGTATTCTAAGAATTTGCGACCTCATATACAACTCAGAATGGTCAGAACAACTACAGGCATCCTTTTCCTTTTCATATCAAACAGCTTACTGTTAGAAAGAGAAGTAAGATTCTAAACAACACTAAAGCATTCTTTTCAATATGCTGTTTGTTTGTAGAGATAGAGAATAGAGTAAGATAGAGAGGAAACAATTTTGAAATGTCTAAAATGTTTGTTGTTTTAAAATATTCAACAAAACAATTTGATGTAGCTTTAAATGCAGTGAGAACTTGAAACGTCAAAGTCAATTCTATTTTATATTTTAAACTTTCGCATATCACTATTTACAATGCAATAAGTATCTCATTATAAATATCAGCGTCAGTTTCTTTATGAATTGCATGACGAATATCGTTTAACATTAAAACTTTTCTGATATTTACCTAGTGAAATTTCGTTCAGATAAGACACGTATGTAGTTTGATTTATTGTCGCAAATGACGTTATTTTACGCATTTTGCCCGCAATTAATAACCGTAAACAAATTGCTTTATTTCATAATTTAAAAGGACAATAACTTTAAACAAATATATTATAAAACTAGCTGACCCGGCAGACTTCGTAGTGCCTCAATCGATAAATAAAAGACCTCAACTTTATTTAATTCCGAGAATTTTCATATGTACCTTTTAAACCTTCTACAATTTGTTTAATTTCAAGTTTTAAACAATCTACCTTTTAAGCCTTCCCTGGACTTCGACAAATAATTGAAGACTAAAATTAGCCCGGTTCAGTCGTTCTCGAGTTTTAGCGAGACTAACGAACAACAATTCATTTTTATATATATAGATGACCGAATATCGTTAAAATATCTATAATACAATATACAACTTTGGATTACAGGCTTAAAAAGTGTTTGTTATGAATCAAAGGGATTGATATAATTGTATTAAGTCAAACTTATGACACCCACTAGTAATTACTGTATTACGCATAACTTATGCACATCCGCTTAATAGATCGATAATAATCAATATTTCAACCTGATATCGGGATAAACTCTTAATGGATGTCTCAAAACAGTACACAAAAGATAATGAAACAAAAAGAAACAAAGAATACGAATTGATTGCATATGGTAGATTTAGACAAAAATGGAAATCAAATATGCATTTTTTCTTTTTTCCAAAAGTAACAATTATGGAGTGATAAATCAAACAAAACATTTTGTAAAACAATTTATTTCGTAAATATGATCCTCGTTACGTTACGCTTTCATAAAGATGCTTTTTTTTTGCAACTAGTCCCATAATCTACGAAAACATTCATGTAAAATGTATTTATAACCATTGAAATGAACAATAAACTTTATCAATTATCAGCACTTATAAAACTCACAGTTATCAAGGTTATTAAAAATCTACGTTCTTTTTCCAGTCATAACCTTGTCACGCGCCAAAAGTACCATAAAATCCAAAGCTGCCCAATAAAATTTATTGGGTTTGTTTATTGCGGGAAAGTATTAATACACCTACGCATCGAAATCTGTTATGATACGTATTTATTGTTGCCGGCAATCAAATTTCGTACTAAACGCTAATTTATCTAGTTTTATATGCTTTGAATTTGCTTTTACGTCATACCTTACTCACTGTGGCAAGATAAAGTGATATAATTTTTATACAGTTACCCATAATGTAATTCATGCATTCTTCTTCTTCGTCGCTTTCTTCATTGCTGAAGGTCGTGTCCCTGAAACTCTACCGTTGCCTGTCTCGTGAGCTGTTTCCATCTCGTCCGGTCCTCAGCTGCTCGAATGGCGGTTGCGACTGGCAACCCAGTTAGAGCGGTTACTTGATCACACCAACGGCTAGATAGTCGGCCGCGGGGTCTCTTTCCTTCTACTTTGCCCATCACAATCACTTTGTCCAAGTTATCTGACTGTCGGCGGGCAATATGACCGAAGTAGCTGAGGATCCTCTGGTAACAGATTGTTGAGAGCCTGACTCGGAAGCGAAGCTGATCCAGGATAGATTTATTTGTCCTCTTGGCCGTTCATGCATTAACTAATACATAAACAGGCAGTCAACAGGACGTACAGTCATTTTGGGTCAGGTAGATTTAACCCTAACATTCATCACCCATCAAATGTTTCAACGGAAATTTCTGTAACATCAGTTCAATATTCAACGCCCTCATTACAGTTTTGTAATTAAGTATTCCATTGGTTGAGGATATATAAAATGCGAAAACCGACAATACTCCTCAAGAAACTGGTGGTAGGACGTATGCCTATTTCTGCCGTGAAGCAGTAATGCGTTTCGGTTTGAAGGGTGGGGTTGTAACTAAACTGAGACCTTAGAACTTATATATCAAGGTTGGTGGCACATTTACGTTGTAGATGTCTATGGGCTCCAGTAACCACTTAACAACACTTTCATTAACACACAGAAAGCTGTCGAATTTAATTTCAAACACTTTAAAACTGACGCCATCGCTTTTATTCACTCCGGATTTTTTATAAAAATAAAAGTGGAAAACTTCATCGGAAAAAGGTATGGTTCTTTAAAAAAATATTTTATTTAATGCAGTTTCAGAAAGCATAATGCTTTCATATAAAAAAAAACCTTTTGTTGTACATACTTCGTAACGTCACTGCCGTTAATGTGCTAGGCATGCGAATGCGAAATTGAAACGAAGAAATATAAGTCACATTGAAACCGTCACAAATTGCTTATAACGTATGTACTTATATACTGGTAATATTATAGATTAGTATCACTTTTCCTATAAATAAATACACTAAATTAATAATACCATTTCCGATATGTATATGTACAAAGCGATAAATACATTA